GATTATACTCAAAAACTCACCCCTAACCAGTAGAATACAATAGAATTCAGTAGGTTTTCATATGGCACATAGTTTGAGAGATGTCAGCAAACGTCAAGAAACCTTTTTTCAATTTTAGAACGAGACAAATAGAACGCTTGTAGATTCTCAAGACAAAAGACGATTTGAAATGGTTGTGACTGAGTAGAAGGCAAACTGTAAAGCCTACGACCAGTTCGAAAAGAACGCCTTTCTTTGACCTCAGCCGAATTCAATAAAGTGTACACTTTATCAAAACCGGTCGGTTCCAGACCAAGCTATTGATTGGCTCTTCAAACCGATCATTCACAATTCACTTTGGCATCGGTGATAACTTGATATAAGTAATACGCCTGGGGAAACAATGCGAGTTCATGCTAGTCGATTCAGATTGACGGTTCTATTCCAACTAGGGTGTTATTGAAGAGCACTGCTCATTGAAGTGACGCGTTTTGGTTTAGAGGATGAAACAACTGAAAACTATCTCTCAATCAGAACCAAAACACATCATTTTAAAAATGTTGATTCAAACTCAACAGAAATACGTATTTGACAGAAAGAAGTGCAGATAACCAGATTATTTGTTCTTCTGATTACATCAATTTGAAAACTCAAGTACTTGCTGCAAAGAAAGTCATTTTATAAGCTGTACGTAAGCAAATTCTTAAGCATGATTGTTAAATTAGACTACTAATTAAAAATAAATTTCTTTTTTATTTCTTACTGGTATTCGTACTCACATGGATTTATTGGAAACCTGACTGTGATAAAACAAGGTCAGCTGGGGCCAAATCAACGTCTGTGACGATGAAGATGCGACAGAACCCAACCATTCATATATGTAGTGCAATAATTAATCACGTTGTAAGTTTCAGAATTGAAGAGAACTTTTATTCTCCGGCGCAACGTTTTCTTCCAACGCTATCACAAAGAATTGTGATATTCATTTTATTCATTATTCCTAATTCAGAAGTCGAAAATTCAATGGATAGTTCTTTGGGAATATAAGATAAAAAGTAGTGGGAGACTACAAGTTATTTCTGGATTAATTGTTATACAATTTAAATGGAGTCTACTGAATAATGAAGCTCGATTAATTAGCGAAATTGAATCACGTGGTTTCTCTTTATCTGTGATTGACAAACTTTGTTCATGGTTAACTCACATTGATTTCGACTCCGAGTATCTCCATCAGTTCGGTTGTACAACTGTTCTTCCGACCTGTCAATCAATATGTACGCTGATTCGCACTCTGACTCGAATTCATAAATGAAAATCTGATTTCGCGGGGAAAAATTCGTGCGTTTTCTGACATATTTTGTATCCGGATTGTGCTACAGTGTAACAGTTGATAGTTAAGTGCTGTAGAGCAAACATTCACCGAGGTAACAAGTGGTGATGCTGGCCAATTGGTAACGTCACCGAATTATCACCTCAGAGGACGAGTGTTCGAATCCCACCACCACCGACTGACTTTCTGCATTGTGTATTGTACGGCGACCCTCTGATTGGGTACTTCCCCCTTCCTAAAAACCGTATCTTTGTACATTCAATAAAAGGAATGAAAAATGAAAAAGAAAATAAAACTGATCACGTTCGAACTCACGTTTCACCTCCTGGGTGTAAGTGAATTCCGATGAGTTAACACTTCTTGTCAGTTACTCTTCTATTCGCGCCCGTTTCTCGACAGCTCACTCTAGTGTACAGTATTCGTATTTGTTGTTCCAAAAGATGATCACGTTACAACAGACTGGAAGCAAAGGAACGGAAAACATATCCGCGTCTTTGATCATTTCCTATATTCTTAAAACAGTGCCGGGAGAGTCGCTGATTACGAACAACGGTAATGGCATCGATCAATAGGCTTGCATACAACAAAACGTCTCTTTTGAAACAGCTCATCATAACTCCCACGAGTAGGCAGAATAATTAATGGAACGGTACGCTGACAGGTGTGCATTTTCTGCAACTACAATTTTGAGCAGAGCTATTCGCTCTCGGACGCTATATTTATTATGGATCGTTGTCGGAAACCGCCAAACGCGTTCTTTTGTGCCTTCCAGTCATACAACTCACAAATGTGAGGAATGAAACACAACAGAGCGACGGATTCTCTCCATACTGCCTGTACAGTCATCAGCCAGCAGTTGCTAATTCCCATTGAGGTGCTGAGAATTACCTGATGATGCTGCCTCCTCTTGGAATGAATAACTATCCTTTTTCCCTATCTCTGCTATGGTTTTTACACTGACCACAAGTGAAATCACAGTGAAATTCCTCTAGCAAAAATTTGTACAAAGTCACAAATCTCTAATTCCTATTCAGAGATGCATATGCTGAGTTTAGGTGATCTGTACAATAAATTTATGGATGGACAATACAATCCTCTGAGATAAATTTCGAACCCCAAAACGAATGTTCTGTTTCGAATCATTTTGTTTTCATTTTTCAATTAATCAGGTGAGCTGATAAGTCCGTAAGCTATATGCGTCTGCTTTCACCGGTGATTGCAAGAACATTACACTACTTGCCTTGCTTCTGTTACCATCCGGTTCGGTACCACACTTAGCTGGGTATTGTGATCGGGAGAAATTAAATATCTTGCACATTAATATTTCCTTTACAAAATAATAAGGGACATGCATTAGTTGGTCGAGTTGCAATTAGTTTACAGACTTGTGATCAACGTCAACCCCGGGTAGCTCCTTCTTCATGAAATATTTGGTAGGGTAAGGGCAAAACACGCATCTGGAATCTCAGTTTCCAAGCACGTGTGTACGAACACAATTTACAGTTGATGCGTTATTTCATTGACCTCATCTGAGCCCGCTTTGGATCGACGTATGGCTTTGTGTGTTTCCAGTTGGTATCGTTTTTTTTTTTTGTCTTTTTGTCGCTGTTTTTGTTATGCTCGTGGTGGCAGGAGCAGCAGTAGTGGTAATGGTTGTGATGCTGGCGGATCCAATCCCTCCCCCACGCAAACACTCTCCATTTATTCCGTCTAATATTAAACAATCCATACACAGTGGGTTAATAGATAACCTGACAAACCGTAATAAATTTAGTCCACAACTATACCCTAATCCACAACAAAAAGTAATCTATTCTGACACCCGATTCAATTAATCGGTATTTTCCCACCCTTCGGTTTCCTCCACCGACTATAGTGATACGTTCATTGTGAGGCCGTGTTAAAGTATCGATCTGGAACATTTTATCCATAGTTGGAGCCATGTATTCATTCCCAATAGGACCCGTGTGACATCCATTCTAAATTCCGCTTATGGGAATGTAATAGCATTATTCTGTCTATGCCCGAATATATGCCACTGACGAATTCAGTTGGCTGATACGGAGCGCGATAGTTCACACGTAAAGGTTTCATCGCGTCAGAACTCATGCAATCACATTTTGGGCAAAAGAAAGTTTTCTGCCTGGAATAATTAATTTTTTCAAGCATTGAATGCATACAAATGAGGAAATGCGGTTGATGAACTGTCCTCTCGTTATTGTACACAGCAAATAAATCTGCAACGGACGGAACAACTGATGCGTAGACAAGTAGCATACGGAAGTAGATTTGCCTTCATGATGAACAGTTGAATCACTTCAAT